GGCCAGGCCTCAAGCTTGTGGCAGAAAATAACAGAAGCTTTTAAAAGGAATTGAAACCACCATCCTCGGCAGAGTGTTCCCCGCGTTTGCTGTGGCCCTTGGCAGCCCCTCTGCTGGGAGCTCTCAGCCTTCTGCTGGATGCCACGGGGCGATTGAGGGGCTGATAAACAGCACATGGCATTCACGCCTATGGACAGCATTCATGCACAGGATTCTTTGTCCTTGTGAGTTGAGACAGAGAGCTGTTCTGTGCTACAGAGCCCAAAGCCAGAACTCCATTTTCAAAAGCTCTAGCTGCAGAGCAGGCCAAGGCCGAGGCACGCATGCCCCCAGCCCTTTAAAGTGTGCTTGCGAAATAAACTTGCCCAAACTTGGACTTCTTTCTTGAAAATCTGGATTTACTTGCTAATTCCAAAGGGAAAACTTGGCACTATTACAACGGGGAAACTTGGCAATCTCCTCCTTGATCAAGGGATCGCAGTCACGAGGGTCCTGAGAAGTGACCCCACGCCCCTTTTGCAGTATTCCTGCCCCCAGCACATAACCTGAACCTGACCATGAGGACGCATCATCAGGCGAACCCAGACTGAGGGGCATTTCTACAAAACTGGCCTGCGCACTGAAAAAAATACCCGTGTTATGAGCGACAACCAAAGGCTGAGGAACTCTTCCCGACTGAAGAAGCTAGAGACTGTGACAACTAAGTATCACATGGGAGCACGGACAGCGGCTGAAGCCTCATTGGGAAAAAAGACATTGCTCTACGGAAGTCACTGGACAATTAGTAAAATTTAAATATAGGTTATATGTCAGATCATACCATATCAGTGTTCAGTTTCCTGAATTTGATTCCTGTGTAGTAGTTATGTAAGAGAATATCCATACGTTTGAAAGTATTTAGGAGTAAAGGATCATGGTGTCTGCAATTTACTCTCAAATAACTCAGCAAAAAAATAATGATAATTATAACATCGAGATAGAGAAAGAGATATTAAAACAAACAAGGTAAAACTGGTGCATCTAAATGAAAGGTATATTGATATTTCTTGTATTACTCTTGCAACTTCCCTGCAGGTGTGAATTCAAAAGAAGGACACATGTTTTTTAAAAGGGAGCATCAGTGACATGCTTAGTGGCATCTCCCAGTGACTACTCATGTCACAGCTACCGTGCAATACCGGAGAGCTGAGGCAGCACTCTAAGAAGCACGACATGCCTACTGGCGACATACAAAGTTCTGTGCTGTGCTTTTACTTTGGGACATGAGAGACAGCAATATTTCAATAATGCCACCATTGCTCAACACATATGATGCAATTTACCAACCACACAGGAAGATTAGTTGCACTACATTATAATCACACTTTGCTTTTGACCAAAAACAGCCCCATCCACCTAATTAATCAGCCTCGCTTCTGAAGGGATCATAGATTGTTAGAACTGTCAAGGGCCCTAGAGAATGCGTGCCTTATCCATGGTACAAAGGAGGAAACCAAGGCCCAGAGAGGGACTTTAATTTGCCCAAGGTCACAGCTACTCTCACTGACTCCCAGGCCAGTGCTCTTGTCAGAGTTCTGTCCTGGGAAACCCCTGGAGTATCCTCCAGGCCTTCGGCTATTTGCAAAAATCAAGAGACGAAGATCTGTGTTTTCTCAAGGAAATATATTTTTTTAATGTCCAGGTGAGGTTGAAAGCAGTTCCAAAGCAGAGAGAACAAGAATATTCTTAATAGTAAAACTTTCACAGAAGCATGGCACCTCCCAAGTGTATGTGTGTTTGTTTAAAACAAAAATTGTCATATTACCGGGTGGGTGGGTGGGGAGGGTGAAGGGGATAAAGGGGCACAAAAACTCTCAATCATACATAAATTGGCCATGGAAATAGTAGTACAGCATGGAGAATACAGCCAGTGATTCTATAACATCTAGGTTGACAGATAGTAATTGCACTAGAGGGGGTGAGGACTTAATAATAGGGGTAAACCTATTATTAAGAACACTGCTGAACCGCTGTGTTGTATATTTGAAACCAACATAAGATTGTATATCAATGATACTTCAATTAAAAAACTTGTCATATTACTTTATGATCATACCTCAAATACATCCCACATAGCTGCGGCTATTTTAAGAAGCCTCAATATATAGAAATTCAGACTTGCCAAACAGAAAAGTGAGAGGCTTAGGATATTGTCCTGGTCTCTCTCTGCCCTTCCACCTTCAGACTGGTCCTCTGCCCTGGGCCCCCAGGAGGCTTGGCCCCTTCATGCACAACACCTGGGCTCGCTCGTCCTCCAGGTGAAAGAAACACCAACAAGAGGAAAGGTCAGGATATTTTCCTGCCCCGCGCGGCGTTCATGGCTGCGGCCGCTGTTGGCCTTACACTGCATTCCAGAAACACCATTTCTTCCCCGGGACCTTTCAGATCCAGGGTAGTACCAGCTTCCTACTGTCCCTGGGGGTCTCAGCACCTGTTGTTGCCTTCTTTGCCCCTGTCCACTGCTCCCTAAACTGTCCCCTTTCTAAAAGTCTCTCTGATCAGACTATCTTCAAGTGGGATTGTGTTTCCTGTAAGGACCCTCACAGATGCAGAAATGAGTCTGATGAAAATTATTTACTGCCATTTGTGAGCACATAGCACATTTCAAAATAATTCAGTTTTCCAAATGTCGCCTTAACCCCACCACTCCCCACACACGGTCACCCTGTGTAGAGCAAGGTGCACTGTGAGGCTGTGATTCCCACTATCGGTCCGTGCTGGAACCTGGAGGAAGGACCTTGAGGAGCCCAGCCCCTTCTCCATCACCCAGTGCTCCCCCCGCCCTCGAATGCAGAACCTCAGAGTGTAAGACTTCAAGAATCTGGGCCCTGCAGGACTTTGGGGAATAACCTGCACCATCCCCATCAGGAACTGAGAGGACAGGGGGAGTTGGCGATGGTGTCAGGAGGAGCAAAGGCCAGGGGGAAGGCAAGTGGCAGGCAGCCGGGCAAAGGAAAGCCCTGCACAGGGCTCTCCAGTCCCTGGACCCTCTCCATGCTGCCCCTTCCCGATCACAGTCACTGCAGGAGGGAGGGCTCCTGTCTGCGGCCACTGCCTCCAGCCTGGGCCTGACATGGGAAGAGGGCAGCAGAGAAGTTTCACACGTTTGAAACATTGGCCAGCTGCCATGTTCCTTGTCGTATTATGCACCACGCCTTGACTGTTCCAGCCAATGAGCCCTCGCCCTGGGCACACAGGAACCACCGCCATCCTCGTCACCTTGGTAGGAATATCATTTCCTCGTGCCATTTCCAGTGTTCAAAGCACCCAGTTTCCCAGCACTCCATCTGGTCTATGGAGGTTGGCAGAGGGGGATTCAGAGACCAGTGGGGCTGGGACAGCATCTAGCCACAGGGGGCTCAAAAACTACTTACTGAATTGCCACTGAGGGCCATCACTAGCTTACATCACCCCTCCTTCCTCAAGCTAAAAACAAAAAATGTAACTGATGTACTATTGGACAACCAAGGAGTTCCACCAGAGAATCTTCCCAGCGTCCTGCTAGGCATCCCCGGGGACTGTGCACACAAATGCCCCTGCTGCCATCCACTCACTCCATGTCCAGACACCAGAGCCACACATCTCAGGCAGCAGGCACACCCTGCCCACGCTACAGCCCTGTCAACCTCAGGATCAAGGAAGGGTCAAGAACTGGGCTATGAGCTGGGTCAAGCGAAGGGAGCACCTGTGAAGGGCATCCAGACTGCAGCAGCTGCAAGCACAGTGCTCCCTGGGCACGAGTATGTTCTCGCTCGAGTGCACATGGAGGGGCTCGCACCTGCCGCTCACCCTCGCGCGCCCAGTAAACATCAGGCGGCTGTGCCGGGAATGCCACACACTTAGATGTGGTGCCCCTGCACAGCAGACCACCCAAATACCTGAACGACTCTTCGGCCTGTGGACACTCTCCCTCTTCTATGGGGAAGGAAACAGGCCTGAAGAGATTGTCTTGCCCAGTTTACAGAAGCATTTGTAGGTTGGTCATCTTACAAGCGGCAGACGATCGAATGCTTCCCTTGTTACCCATCTCCTTCCAAAACCAAGAACCAACCTGGAGCTCCACACAGGCTCTGCTGGCTGAGGAGGGAACAGATGAGGCTGGCAAGTGACCGTCTGAAATCCAAGCAAGGGTGGGTGGGGTTCAGGCTGGGCTGGAGCCCCTGCTGCCATGCGAGGACACCCACGCCGAGCCCCTGTACTGGAGAGGGCAGGATGGGGCGGGACTACTATCTCTGGTCTGATCAGAGAGGGGAGGGCTGCCTCCACTAGCAGAAAGGGGGCAGCTCTGGGGACCAGGAGGCGGATGAGCTTGGTTCGACTGTTTTGATATGACACTGCCCTCTGCCCAGCAATGACAGAGAGGAGCCAGTTTCCAGAAGAGCCCCTTCATGTACTGTCTGCAGAGCTGGATCGAAAGGGGACTTTGGTCAGAAGAGATTTTCCATAAAGGTTAGCCCTAAAATGGACTAGACGGAACCAGTAATGACACTGAATGTAAGAACAGCACCCTTACTTTAAAGCAGAGGAAACAGGCCCAGGCAGGGCAGGTAATTGGAGGCCAACCAGCAAACCTGCAGCCAAGTCAGGAATAGACGACAGGCCATTGACTCACAGCCACACTCCTTTCTACCACTCCAACCAGCTGTTTTTCCCATTCACATCTGTATCTCTTTCTCCATTCAGGACCATTTCTGAATTGTGGATTGAAATCTGAGGATGCAAAGTTGGAGGGTGGGTGGGTCCTGGGGCTGGGGCTGCCAGCACGCCAAGGCTCTCTTGATTCCTCAGCAATGGTGCAGCCAGCCTCACTGTGACCATCAAGAAGCGGATGGGCTGCCTCCTGTTACCCACCGTGGAAACCAGCATTGCCACCGGGTGGGTCCAGGCGGCACTGCCAGGGCTGTGGGTGGTGCCACCCCAGGCTTCATCCTCCGCCCCCCAACACAGAATGCAAAGGCATATCAGGGTTAATAAACAGCTTTATTTGCCTTTGACAGCATTGATTTTCTTACATTCTCAATTAATTTGCCATTAAAGTGCTGGAAATTTTCTTAATCATGATAACATTTGTTAAAAGAAATCAGAACTACTATCAGGACGTGGCAGTCATAAAGAAAACATTTCTTTTGCGATACCCAGAATGGAAGCCCTCCCCAGCGCTGAGCTGGTGGGTTGGCCAATTGGCAAACAGATTCTAATTCTCTCTTACGGTGAGCACCAAACCCGCTGGGACCACCACCCCTGGGGAGAAAAGCGATGCTAAGGAGTTAAGACACCCACACACCCTGCTAGCAGCCCCTCTCAGCCCCCTTTGGGCATTTGCTGCTGGAGTAGATCCAATCTTAGGAGAAATGGAGGTCTGGCCCCCTCTACTGCCTTCTACCCCACCCCACCCTTACTAACAAAAGCCCCAAAAGTCATTACAATGAAAAAGTGAGTTTCCATTACCCCAACACTAACAATGTTCAGTAAAAATGAGAATAAACACAAAAGCTGGCTTAGTAAACAGGAGCTCTCAGCATTCAATGCAAAAAAACTGAAATCATAAGGCAAATATCGTTGACTTGCACGTGGGCTGGACGAACTTGAACGCTTTACTTGTCTGTAAAGCTCCGGGAGCCCAGGCGGTTGGTTTTCCCGCGCTTGCCGCTGGCAGAGGCCAGCTCTTTGCATTATTGCTGAGGCTGTCGGGGTGTTTCTCTTTGGCGTTTATATACAAACACACCCAAGGCTGAAGTATTTTTATACATGTATGTACACACACAAAGGCCTGCTACTCTTTCCTCGTGGACACCGCCAGCTCCACCTCGGGAAGCTGGATGCCAACCTTGGTCCCACTGTCACTGCTAGACGATGACGACAGTCGGGACTTCTTAGAGGCCAAGGACACTCCACTCCCCTGCAGCTTGCCTGCCTCATCATCACTCCCTGTCACCTCATAATGACCTTTGCTCTTTGACCCCAATCCACCAAAGGTACCAAATTTCAGCTTTCCATGTTTCCCTTTGCCCTTCCCGCCTTCTGGTGACGCTTCCCCACCTTCAAACTCCAGAGTCCCCGTTGGGGTGGAAGGTGCCGAGAGCTCCTTTTCATCACTGAAGGAATTTGAACGATGCCGGGGCTTCTTGCTTTTGAATAAGGAGAATTTGCCTTTGGGCGAAGATGCTTCGGCCTCAGCCTCTCCTTCCAGAGAGCCTAGGCTGGCCTTCGAGCTCTTCAGGTCCCCTTTGGACCCTGAAATGGATGCTTCAGGTGAGCTGGTGACGCCACCTTTCCCCTTGGCTTTGGAAAAATGGAACTTAGGCATTTTGATTTTGGACTTCTTCAGTTTTACGTCGGATTCTTCCCACTCGTCCTCTCCGGCACCCGACTGGACACTAGCCTCTGCTTTAGGGAAGTTAATATCCACCCCCACTTCTCTGCCGACCAGCTCCCGGCCGGAGAAGGTGAACTTGGGGATCTTCATCTTGGGGAATGTTACTTTTCCAGACCCACTTTCCAAGTGACCTTGAGGCCCGGACACACTCAGCCCCAGACCCTGGAGTCCGATGTGGCCTCCTTTCACATCTCCTTCTACCTTTGGTCCTGAGAAATGAAGTCCCCCAGCAAACCTCGGTGCACCCAAGGTGAGGGCGGAGGAGGCCTGAGGGCCTCTCCTCTCACTCCCGGAACCTTTAACACTCACTTGCCCTTCACCCAGGCTGGTATCTGGGGCACTGACACCCCCTGAAACATCAATACCTCCTCCTTTGATTTGGGGGCCCTTCAGGCTGACACCGAAATCTGACTCAGGAGATGCCACACTAAACGAAGGCCCCTTCAAGCTAACATCAGGAGCAGCCCCGTGGAAACCTAGTCCCGGACCTTTCAGATCACCTTTCATTTCAGGACCAGAGATTTGCCCAGTTGGGAGTTTCACAGTCAGTCCTGGCAGCTCCATGCCACAGCCAGAGGACTTAATTCCAGACATCTGGAGGTTTCCCTCTAAGCCTTGAGCACTGATGCCCAGAAGACCTCCTCCAGCAGTGGGGCCTTTCATCTCACCAGTGGCCCCGAGGCTCCCTTTTACTTTTGGTCCTTCCAAGTTCAAGTCCATGCCCGGTGCTGAGATTTGAGGACCAGACATCTGAGGCCCTTTCAGGTTCAGTCCTCCGAGGTTCACATCCATGCCTGGCCCCTTCAGTTCTCCAGTAACTTGTGGCCCCTTGACATTAATGTCCAAGTCAGGCCCTGGAGCAGAGATGCCAAACTGCGGCAGTTTCATTTGGGGAAGTCTAATACCACCTTCAGGTGCCTCCAAGCTTAGATCTGGAGCGCCTACTGATACTTTAGGACACTTGATGTCACCAGAGACAGCCAGGTCTCCCTGCAGGCTTGGTCCCTTCAAGGTCACGTCTGGCACACCGACGTGAAGCATGGTTGTGGCATCGATCCCAGGCACTGTCACACCGTCTCCTTCCACCTTCACCTTTCCACCAACACTTCGGAGGTCAAGCCCTGGGGCATGCACCTTCATGCTGGGGGGAGATACATCCAGGTCTCCCTTCAAACTTGGTCCTTTCAAGTTGAGGTCAAGGTCAGGTCCAGAGACTTTTGGCATAGCGAGGCTCACTGAAGGAAAGTCTACTTTTGGCCCCTTCAGAGACACATCAGGCCCTTCGAGCTGAACATCTGGTGCACTCAAGCCTCCTTCAAGAGAGGGCAGCTGGGCATGGACCTCAGCTCCCCCACCTTCCATTTTCATACCAGGGATGCCAATCTTGGGCATTGAAAACTTGGGGAACTTGATTTTCGATTCTGGACCTTGCAGGTCTACTTCTGGTCCTTCCATTCCCACACTGGGGACATCACCCTTTATATTTGGTCCTTTCAAGCTAACATTCACATCAGGGATGGAGACTTGAGGGGCAGAAATGCCAAACGATGGTGCTTTCACTTTAGCATCTGGGCCTTCGATGTTGAGGTCCGGTGCACCCAAGTTTGCTGGTACCCTGGGGCCTTTCAGGTCCCCCTCTATTTTTGGCACTGAGACATCCACATCTGGCACCTTGAACTTGGAAGCCTTGAGCTTGATGTCAGGACCTTCCACATTAATCCCTGGTGAAGAAATACCCAGATCAGGTACCTGGATTTCGCCTTCCATTTTGGGGCTAGGGAGGGGGGCCTCAGCTTTAAATTTAGGTGATTTAATGTCAAATTCTACATCTGGGAAGTACATTTTCCCAAACATAGGTTTCTTGGTTTTGGGAGATTTCATATCGACTTTAAGCGAGGCATCCAGACCGGCAACATTGACGTCTACATCAGAAGTCTTGAGAGCGGCATCAATTTCACCTCCGGGAACATTCAAATCAAATCCCTGTTTTTTGGCCTTAATTTTAGGACCACTCATGTGAATTTTAGGCATTTTAAACTTGCTTTTCTTGCCCTTGCTGCCAACACTAATTTCAGGAGTCTCAACATTCAGCTCTGCTTCAGGAACAGTCACATCGAGCGAAGGGGACTTGAAGTCAGCTTTGGGGCTTTTTGCTCCAAACCCAAACTTGGGTTTCTTAAATTTGGGAATTTTAACATCTGGCCCCTCAATGTTCACGTCTGGGCTCTCCACTTGCACATCTAAACTTGGAGCTTCTAAATCCACTTTAGGCCCCTTGAAGTCCAGTTCACCACCTTCTACCTGGGGACCAGAAACTCCAATTTTGGGTGTCTTGAGATGTAAATCAACATCAGGAGCAGTTACTTTAGGGGCAGATATATCCAGTGACGGCATCTTCAAGTTTGGGCCACTGAGTTTGGCATCAGGGCCTTCAAAATGCAGGCCTGGACCTTTCAGGTCCACCTCTGGGCCTTTAAAGGTACCTTCAATCTTAGGGACAGACACATCAAAATCACCTTTGACTTTAGGTCCTTTCAAATCCAGGTCAACATCAGGCATGGAGATCTTGGGGGCTTTGATATTTATGTCAGGCATCTTGAACTTCGGGCCCTTCAGTTTTGCGTCAGGACCTTCGATATTCACATCTGGAACATCAATGTCCACCTTGGGTCCTGAAACATCAATGTCACCCTTGGGCAGGCTCAAATCCACATCTGGGCCCTCAGCTTTGAAGCCCGGCATGCCGAACTTGGGCATTTTCACCTTGGGCATCTTCAGGTGCCAATCTGGGCCATGAACGTCCACATCAGGAGCATCGATGTCCACTTTGGGCCCCTTGATGTCAATTTCCGGGCCCTTGAAATCACCTTCCACCTTAGGCAGGGAAACGTCCACATCGCCCTTTATCTTGGGACCCTTCAGGTGTAAGTCAAAGTCAGGCATGGAGATCTTAGGAGCTTTAATGTTCATCTCTGGCATCTTGAACTTGGGGCCCTTCAGTTTTGCATCTGGACCTTCAATACTGACCTCTGGAACTTCAACATCCACTCTGGGTGCTGAGAGATCAATATCGGCCTTGGGCAGGCTCACATCCACGTCTGGGCCCTCTGCTTTGAAGCCCGGCATGCCGAACTTGGGCATTTTCACCTTGGGCATCTTCAGGTGCCAGTCTGGGCCATGAATGTCCACATCCGGGACATCGACATCCATTTTGGGGCCCTTGATGTCAACTTCAGGGCCCTTGAGGTCTCCTTCCACTCTGGGCAGAGAAATGTCCACATCGCCTTTTACCTTGGGACCCTTCAGATTCAGGTCGACTTCAGGCATGGATATCTTTGGTGCCTTGAGGTGCAGGTCAGGCATTTTAAACTTGGGGCCCTTCAGTTTCCCTTCTGGACCATGAATGTCCATGTCAGGAGTGTCTATGTCCACCTTAGGTCCTGAGATGTCAATGTCGGCCTTGGGCAGGCTCACATCCACTTCTGGGCCCTCTCCTTTGAAGCCCGGCATGCTGAACTTGGGCATTTTCACCTTGGGCATCTTCAGGTGCCAGTCTGGGCCATGAACGTCCACATCTGGGACATCAATGTCCATCTTGGGGCCTTTGAGGTCAACATCAGGGCCTTTTAGGTCACCTTCCACCTTAGGCAGGGAAACATCCACATCTCCTTTGACCTTAGGACCTTTCAGGTGCAAGTCAAAGTCAGGCATGGAGACCTTGGGGGCTTTGATGTTCATTTCAGGCATCTTGAACTTGGGGCCCTTCAGTTTCGCATCTGGACCTTCGATATTGACATCGGGAACTTCAACATCCACCTTGGGTGCTGAGATGTCAATGTCAGCCTTGGGCAGGCTCACATCCACTTCTGGGCCCTCTCCTTTGAAGCCAGGCATGCTGAACTTGGGCATTTTCACCTTGGGCATCTTCAGATGCCAGTCTGGGCCATGAACTCCCACATCTGGGACATCAATGTCCATTTTAGGGCCTTTGATGTCAACTTCAGGGCCTTTTAGGTCACCCTCCACCTTAGGCAGGGAAACATCCACATCTCCTTTGACCTTCGGACCTTTCAGGTGCAAGTCAAAGTCAGGCATGGAGATCTTGGGGGCTTTGATGTTCATCTCAGGCATCTTGAACTTGGGACCTTTCAACTTTCCCTCAGGTCCTTCAATATTAACATCAGGACCTTCAATGTCCACTTTGGGTGCTGAGACATTAATGTCGGCCTTGGGCAGGCTCACATCCACGTCCGGGCCCTCTCCTTTGAAGCCGGGCATGCTGAACTTGGGCATTTTCATCTTGGGCATCTTCAAGTGCCAGTCTGGGCCGTGAACATCCACATCAGGGGCATCAATGTCCACTTTGGGACTTCTGATATCAATCTCAGGGCCTTTCAAATCCCCTTCAACTTTAGGTACAGATACATCCATGTCACCCTTCATTTTGGGGCCCTTCAGGTTTAAATCAATGTCAGGCATGGAGATCTTGGGAGCTTTCAGGTGCATCTCTGGCATCTTGAATTTGGGCCCCTTCAATTTCCCCTCTGGCCCTTCGATGTTAATATCAGGAGTGTCAATATCCACTTTGGGGCCCTTGATGTCCACCTCAGGGCCCTTTAGGTCACCTTCCACTTTTGGCAAAGACACATCCATATCACCCTTAATTTTAGGACCCTTCAAGTTCAGATCAAGGTCAGGCATGGAGACTTTGGGGACTTTGATGTTCATCTCAGGCATCTTGAACTTGGAGGCTTTCAGTTTTGCATCTGGACCTTCAATACTGACCTCTGGAACTTCAACATCCACTTTGGGTGCTGAGAGATCAATGTCGGCCTTGGGCAGGCTCACATCCACGTCTGGGCCCTCTGCTTTGAAGCCCGGCATGCCGAACTTGGGCATTTTCACCTTGGGCATCTTCAGGTGCCAGTCTGGGCCATGAACTCCCACATCTGGGATATCAATGTCCACTTTGGGGCCCTTGATATCAACCTCTGGCCCTTTCAGATCTCCTTCAACTTTGGGCAGAGAAACATCCACATCACCTTTCAACTTGGGACCCCTCAGGTTTAAATCAAGGTCAGGCATGGAGATCTTGGGAGCTTTGATATTCATGTCAGGCATCTTGAGTTTGGGACCTTTCAAGCCTCCTTCTAGTCCTTCCACATTGATTTCTGGGCCTTCAATGTTCATTCTGGGCCCCTCTATGTTGATATCTCCTTTTGGCAGATCCACAGTCATATCTGCCCCTTCTGCTTTTAAGCCAGGCACACCAAACTTAGGCATTTTCATCTTGGGCATTTTCAAATTCCAGTCTGGACTATGAACATCCACATCAGGTGCATCAAGATTTACTTCTGGTGCTTTTATATCCATTTTGGGTCCTTTAAAGTCACCTTCTAAACTGGGAGCTGCAACATCTAAGTCTCCTTTGACTTTAGGACCTTTCAGGTTTAACTCCACATCAGGCATAGAAACTTTAGGAGATGAAATACTCAGGAAAGGCATTTTGAACTTGGAGCCTTTAACTTTTCCTTGAACCTCAACATCAGGAGCATTAATGTCAACTTTTGGACCTGTCACATCAATATCTGGCTTTTTAACTTTGACATCCACCTCAGGTGTCTGAACTTTAGAGCCCGAAAAATTAAATTTGGGAAGCTTAAAACGAGATTTCTTTGACTTGCCTTCAATATTCAGCTTAGGGCCAGAAATATCCACTTCTGGGCCCTTTACATCCAACTTGGGAGCCTTAATGTCACCTTCCAATTTGGGCCCAGAAATATCAACATCTCCCTTAAGCTTTGAGCCTTTCAAATTCAGGTCAATTTCTGGCATGGAGATCTTGGGAATGTTTACTTGCATGTCAGGCATCTTCAGGTTTGGACCTTTTAATTTACCTTCTGGGCCATGAATGTCAATACCAGGAGCATCTAAATCTACTTTCGTGCCCTTAATGTCAAGAGTAGGCCCTTTCAAATCACCCTCTATGTTTGGAAGTGAAACATCCACCTCTCCTTTCATTTTAGGGCCTTTAAGATTAAGGTCCAAATCCGGCATTGATATCTTAGGAGCTTTGATGTTCATCTCAGGCATTTTGAACTTGGGGCCCTTCAGCTTTGCATCGGGACCCTCAATATTCACATCTGGAACATCAGTGTCCACCTTGGGTCCTGAAACATCAATGTCAGCCTTGGGCAGGCTCACATCCACTTCTGGGCCCTCTGCTTTGAAGCCCGGCATGCTGAACTTGGGCATTTTCACCTTGGGCATCTTCAGGTGCCAGTCTGGGCCATGAACATCCACATCTGGGGCATCAATGTCCACTTTGGGGCCTTTAATATCCACATCAGGAACCTTAATCACACCTTCTACTTTTGGTAAAGACACATCCACATCACCCTTCATTTTGGGGCTCTTCAAATTAAGATCAATGTCAGGCATGGAGATCTTGGGGGCTTTAATGTTCATCTCGGGCATCTTGAACTTGGGACCCTTCAGTTGCGCATCTGGTCCTTCAATATTAACATCAGGGCTTTCAATCTCCACCTTGGGTGCTGAGATGTCAATGTCAGCCTTGGGCAGGTTCACATCCACTTCTGGGCCCTCTCCTTTGAAGCCTGGCATGCTGAATTTAGGCATTTTCACCTTGGGCATCTTCAGGTGCCAGTCTGGGCCATGAACGTCCACATCCGGGACATCAATGTCCATTTTGGGGCCTTTGATGTCAACTTCAGGGCCTTTTAGGTTACCGTCCACTTTAGGCAGGGAAACATCCACATCTCCTTTGACCTTAGGACCTTTCAGGTGCAAGTCAAAGTCAGGCATGGAGATCTTGGGGGCTTTGATGTTCATTTCAGGCATCTTGAACTTGGGGCCCTTTAATTTTGCGTCAGGACCTTCAATATTGACATCAGGAACTTCAACATCCACCTTAGGTGCTGAGAGATCAATGTCACCCTTGGGCAGGCTCACATCCACTTCTGGGCCCTCTCCTTTGAAACCCGGCATGCTGAACTTGGGCATTTTCATCCTGGGCATCTTCAGGTGCCAGTCTGGGCCCTGAACATCCACATCTGGGACATCGATGTCCACTTTAGGGCCTTTGATGTCAACTTCAGGGCCTTTTAGGTCACCCTCCACCTTAGGCAGGGAAACATCCACATCTCCTTTGACCTTCGGACCTTTCAGGTGCAAGTCAAAGTCAGGCATGGAGACCTTGGGGGCTTTGATGTTCATCTCGGGCATCTTGAACTTGGAACCTTTCAACTTTCCCTCAGGTCCTTCGATATTAACATCAGGACCTTCAATGTCCACTTTGGGTGCTGAGACATTAATGTCGGCCTTGGGCAGGCTCACATCCACGTCCGGGCCCTCTCCTTTGAAGCCAGGCATGCTGAACTTGGGCATTTTCACCTTGGGCATCTTCAGGTGCCAGTCCGGGCCATGAACATCCACATCTGGGGCATCAATGTCCACTTTAGGGCCTTTGATGTCAACTTCAGGGCCTTTTAGATCTCCTTCTATCTTGGGACCTGTGACATCCACATCTCCTTTCATTTTTGGACCTGTTAAATTAAGATCAATATCTGGCATGGATATCTTTGGAGTCTTAAAATGCATTTCAGGCATCTTAAACTTCGGACTTTTCCACTTTCCTTCAGGTCCTTCAACATTCACAACAGGACATTCAACATCCACCTTGGGTGCTGAGATGTCAATGTCGGCCTTGGGCAGGCTCACATCCACTTCTGGGCCTTCTCCTTTGAAGCCCGGCATGCTGAACTTGGGCATTTTCACCTTGGGCATCTTCAGATGCCAGTCTGGGCCATGAACATCCACATCTGGGACATCGATGTCCATTTTGGGGCCTTTGAGGTCAACTTCAGGGCCTTTTAGGTCACCCTCCATCTTAGGCAGGGAAACATCCACATCTCCTTTGACCTTCGGACCTTTCAGGTGCAAGTCAAAGTCAGGCATGGAGATCTTGGGGGCTTTGATGTTCATCTCGGGCATCTTGAACTTGGGACCTTTCAATTTTCCCTCAGGTCCTTCTATATTAACATCAGGACCTTCAATGTCCACTTTGGGTGCTGAGACATCAATGTCGGCCTTGGGCAGGCTCACATCCATGTCCGGGCCCTCTCCTTTGAAGCCGGGCACGCTGAACTTGGGCATTTTCATCTTGGGCATCTTCAGGTGCCAGTCTGGGCCGTGAACATCAGGAGCATTTATATCCACTTTGGGGCCTTTGATATTCACATCTGGTGCTTTAATTTTACCTTCTACCTCAGGCACAGACACATCTACATCTCCCTTAAGTTTTGGTCCTTTCATATTTAGATCCACATCAGGCATAGAAATATTTGGAGCTTTGAAATGCATGTCAGGAATCTTGAACTTGGGGCCTTTCAATTTGCCCTCTGGCCCTTCAATGTCAATATCTGGCCCACTGATGTCACCTTTGATATCTGGCCCTTTGAGGTCACCTTCCAATTTGGGAATATTTACATCCACCTCTCCCTTTATCTTGGGGCTTTTTAAGTGTAGATCAATATCTGGCATGGAGATTTTGGGAGATTTAAAGTGCATGTCTGGCATCTTAAATTTAGGACCTTTCCATTTGCCATCTGGACCTTCCACAGATACATCTGGCATGTCAGCATCTAATTTGGGGCCTTTGACATCCAATTCTGGACCCTTGAATTCTCCCTCTAGCTTTGGGGCAGAAACATCAAAGTCTCCTTTGATTTTAGATCCCTTTAAGTTGAAATCAACATCAGGCATGGAGATCTTGGGGGCATGAAAGTGCATTTCAGGCATCTTGAACTTACTACCTTTCAGTTTTCCTTCTGGTCCCTCAAGGCTCACATCTGGGACTTCAATGTCAACCTTTGGTACAGAAATGTCAATGTCAGCCTTGGGCAGGTTCACATCCACATCCGGGCCCTCTCCTTTGAAGCCCGGCATGCTGAACTTGGGCATTTTCATCTTGGGCATCTTCAGGTGCCAGTCTGGGCCATGGACTCCCACATCTGGGGCACTGATATCAACTTTAGGTCCTTTGATGTCCACATCTGGCACTTTCATTTCACCTTCCACGTTGGGCACAGACACATCCACATCCCCTTTGACTCTGGGGCCTTTCAGGTGTAAGTCCACATCAGGCATGGAGATCTTGGGGGCCTTGAAGTGCATCTCAGGCATCTTGAACTTGGGGCCTTTCAACTTTGCATCAGGACATTCCAGATCAACATCAGGCACCTCCACACCCACACTGGGACCTTTCAAATCTCCTTCCAATTTTGGGACAGACACATCCACATCCCCTTTGACTCTGGGGCCTTTCAAGTGTAAGTCCACATCAGGCATGGAGATCTTGGGGGCCTTAAAGTGCATCTCGGGCATCTTGAACTTGGGGCCCTTCAGCTTCCCTTCTGGTCCCTCAAGGCTCATATCTGGGGCTTCGATGTCAACCTTGGGTGCAGCGATTTCAATGTCGGCCTTGGGCAGGCTCACATCCAAGTCTGGGCCCTCAGCTTTGAAGCCGGGCATGCTGAACTTGGGCATCTTCATCTTGGGCATCTTCAAGTTCCAGTCTGGGCCATGAACATCCACATCTGGGACATCAATGTCCATTCTGGGTCCTTTGATGTCCACATCTGGCACTTTCATTTCACCTTCCACCTTGGGCACAGACACATCCACATCCCCTTTGACTTTGGGGCCTTTCAGGTGTAAGTCCACATCAGGCATGGAGATCTTGGGGGCCTTGAAGTGCATCTCAGGCATCTTGAACTTGGGGCCTTTCAACTTTGCATCAGGACATTCCAGATCAACATCAGGCATCTCCACATCCACATTGGGACCTTTGATATCAACCTGGGGACCTCTGAGATCACCTTCTATTTCTGGCAAAGAAGCATCTATCTCTCCTTTCAGTTTGGGTCCCTTCAAATTCAAGTCTACATCTGGCATGGATATCTTGGGAGCTTTGATATTCAGCTTAGGCATCTTAAATTTAGAGCCTTTTAATTTTCCTTCTGGTCCCTCAATATCCAGATCGGGAGCATCAATGTCCACTTTGGGTCCAGACACATTAATGTCAGCCTTGGGCAGGCTCACATCCACTTCTGGGCCCTCTCCTTTGAAGCCTGGCATGCTGAACTTGGGCATTTTTACCTTGGGCATCTTCAGGTGCCAGTCTGGGCCATGAACTCCCACATCTGGGGCATCAACATCCACTTTGGGGCCTCTGACGTCCACATCTGGCACTTTCATTTCACCTTCCACCTTGGGCACAGACACATCCACATCCCCTTTGACTCTGGGGCCTTTCAGGTGTAAGTCCACATCAGGCATGGAGATCTTGGGGGCCTTAAAGTGCATCTCGGGCATCTTAAACTTGGGGCCTTTCAACTTTGCATCAGGACATTCCAGATCAATATCACCAACATCCACATCCATCTTAGGGGATTTTACATCAACTTCAGGACCTTTCAAGTCTCCTTCCACTTTGGGAAGGGAAAAATCTACATCCGCTTTCAGTTTAGGGGCTTTCAGGTTAAGTCCAACATCAGGCATTGAGATTTTGTGCGTCTGTATATTCATGCTTGGCATCTTGAACTTGGGACCCTTTAGTTTCCCCTCTGGACTTTCAATATTCACATCTGGAGCATCAATGTCCACCTTGGGTCCTGAAACATCAATGTCAGCCTTGGGCAGGCTCACATCCACATCCGGGCCCTCTCCTTTGAAGCCAGGCATGCTGAACTTGGGCATTTTCACCTTGGGCATCTTCAGGTGCCAATCTGGGCCATGAACTCCCACATCTGGTGCATTAACGTCCACTTTGGGACCTCTGATGTTGACATCAGGAGCTTTTAACTCTCCTTCTACTTTTGGGACTGTAACATCATAATCTCCCTTCATTTTAGGACCTTTCAAATGCAAACCAACATCTGGCATGGATATCTTCTGAGGCTTTATATTCATTTCTGGCATCTTAAATTTAGGACCCTTTAGTTTTGCTTCAGGACCTTCAATATTCACATCTGGAACTTCAACATCCACCTTAGGCCCAGAGACATCAATGTCGGCCTTGGGCAGGCTCACATCCACGTCTGGGCCCTCTCCTTTGAAGCCCGGCATGCTGAACTTGGGCATTTTCACCTTGGGCATCTTCAGGTGCCAGTCTGGGCCATGAACATCCACATCTGGGGCACTGATGTCAACTTTGGGTCCTTTAATGTCCACATCTGACACTTTCACTTCACCTTCTACATCAGGCAGAGACACATCCACACCCCCCTTTAGTTTTGGGCCTGTAAGATTCAGGTCCACATCAGGCATGGAGATCTTGGGGGCTTTGAAGTGCATCTCGGGCATCTTGAACTTGGGGCCCTTCAGCTTCCCTTCTGGTCCCTCAAGGCTCAAATCTGGGGCTTCGATGTCAACGTTGGGTGCAGCGATTTCAATGTCGGCCTTGGGCAGGCTCACATCCAAGTCTGGGCCCTCAGCTTTGAAGCCGGGCATGCTGAACTTGGGCATTTTCACCTTGGGCATCTTCAGGTGCCAGTCTGGGCCATGAACATCCACATCTGGGACATCAATGTCCATTCTGGGTCCTTTGATGTCCACATCTGGCAGTTTCATTTCACCTTCCATCTTGGGCACAGACACATCCACATCCCCTTTGACTCTGGGGCCTTTCAAGTCTATATCCACATCAGGCATGGAGATCTTGGGGGCCTTGAAGTGCATCTCGGGCATCTTGAACTTGGGCCCCTTCAGCTTCCCTTCTGGTCCCTCAAGGTTCACATCTGGGGCTTCGATGTCAACCTTGGGTGCAGCGATTTCAATGTCGGCCTTGGGCAGGCTCACATCCAAGTCTGGGCCCTCAGCTTTGAAGCCGGGCACGCTGAACTTGGGCATTTTCATCTTGGGCATCTTCAGGCTCCATTCTGCACCCTGAATTTCTGCATCTGGTGCTTTAATGTCTACATTGGGGCCTTTGATGTCCACATCTGGTACTTTCATCTCACCTTCTATTTTGGGTGCTGACATATCTAGATTTCCTTTCATTTTGGGTCCTTTAAGATCCAGGTCAACATCTGGCATAGTCATCTTAGGAGCTTTGAAGTGCATCTCAGGCATCTTAAATTTGGGACCTTTCAACTTTCCTTCCAGTCCTTCAAGGCTCAGATCTGGAGCAGTAATATCTACTGTGGGTGCCGAAATGTCCAGATCAGCCTTGGGCAGTTTCACATCCAGTTCTGGGCCCTCCCCTTTGAGGCTAGGCATTGTAAATTTGGGCATTTTCATCTTGGGCATTTTTAGGTTCCAGTCAGGACCATGAACTTCAACATCTGGGGCACTGATGTCCACTTTTGGCCCTTTCAGTTCCCCTTCCAGCTTTGGTGGTGTCACATCATATTCCCCCTTGACCTTGGGAACTTTCATATGCAAATCTACATCAGGCATGGAGATCTTTGGAGCCTTGATATTCATCTCTGGCATCTTAAACTTGGGACCCTTCATCTTTCCCTCAGGTCCTTCAATATTCACATCTGGAACATCAACATCCACCTTAGGTGCTGAGATATCAATGTCGGCCTTGGGCAGACTCACATCCACGTCTGGGCCCTCTGCTTTGAAGCCAGGTATGCCGAACTTGGGCATTTTCACCTTGGGCATCTTCAGGTGCCAGTCTGGGTTGTGAACGTCCACCTCTGGGGCATCGATGTCCACTTTGGCACTTTTAAGTTCAACATCAGGAACTTTAATCTCACCTTCAACCTTTGGCACTGTGACATCATATTCTCCTTTTACGTTAGGGCCTTTCAAATGTAAGTCCACATCTGGCACGGAGATCTTTGGGGCTTTGATATTCATCTCAGGCATCTTAAACTTAGGTCCTTTCAATTTCCCTTCTGGTCCCTCAATGCTCACATCTGGAGCACTAACCTCTACCTTGGGTCCAGAAATGTCCACATCAGGCTTGGGCAAGCTCACACCCAGGTCTGGGCCCTCTGCTTTGAAGCCTGGCACGCTGAATTTGGGCATTTTCATCTTGGGCATCTTCACATGCCAGTCTGGGCCATGAATGTCCACCTCTGGGGCATCGATGTCCACTTTGGGGCCTTTCAGCTCTCCCTGAAGTTCTGGTGCTGTCACGCCGCACTCTCCTTTTACCGTTGTGCCTCTGACATGCAGACCGACACCAGGTGTGGAGATCTGTGGGGTCTTGACACTCATTTCAGGCAGCTTAATATCAGGGCCTTCAAGTTTGCCTCCCAGGCCTCCCATGTTGACATCTGGGGCTTCCACGTTGACCGTGGGCCCTGAAACACTGACATCTCCTTGGGGTAGATTCACGTCTAGATCTAGGCCTTCCCCTTTGATTCCTGGTGTGCTGAACTTGGGCATTTTCATCTTGGGCATCTTCAGGTACCACTCTGGGCCATGAATGTTCACATCAGGGGCACTGATGTCCACCTTGGGGCCTGTGATGTCAACTTCAGGGACTCTGACTTTTCCTTCTACTTTTGGGAGTATGACATCCACATCCCCTTTCACTTTAGGTGGAGCCACATTTAAGTCTACATCTGCCATAGAGATCCTGCAGGTTCCTGTTTTCCCAGAAGGACTACTAAGGTTGGGGCCTGTCAGGGTCCCCTCTAGACTGGGTGTCTCTATGTCCACTTTAGAGCCTTTCACTGCCACTTGAGGGCCTTTAATGTCACTGTGAACCCCAGGAGAAGAAACCTTAATATCTCCTTTCAGTTTAGGGGACCCAAGGCTCAAATCCACATCTTGCATAGAGATTTTAGGTTTCTGAATAATCATTTCAGGAGTCTTGACTTTAGGACCCTTCACCTTCCCTTCCACCCCACCAGCAGAAATCCCAGGCAGGCTGACGCCCCCAGAGGCCCCAGGAAGAGTCACTTCACCCATGGGCAGTGTCACATCAATGCCAGCTCCCTCTCCCTTAGAACCTGACAAGGGGAATCGGGGGACTTTCATCTTGTCCATGTCCAGTTTGCCCCCAGGCCCCTGAATATCAATGTCAGGGGCTCGAACTTCCACACAGGAGCCACTGGTGCTGCCCTTGGATGTCCACCCCTGTGCTCCCCTGTGGCTTGGCACCTCTCAGGCCTAGGTCACCCTCAAGGGATGGCCCAGTGATTTGGGGGCCCTTCAGCTTCCCCTCAAGTCCCTCAACATCGACAGAGGGAGCACTGACTTCCAGCTGAGGGGTCTGGATGCTTCCACCAGTGGTCAAGCCTGGCTTGCTGCCCTTGTGCTCCCCAGAGAATTCAGGTGCAGAAACACTCAACCCTGCCTCTGGTGCCTCAGGCCCTGTCGAGAAACCAAATTTTGGCATTTTCATGGTGGGGATTTTAATTTTCCCATTGTTGCCCCTCTCAAGCGGTGGGCCCTGCACCTCTACTGCCCCACTCCCAACATCCACTCCTGGAACGTGGGCCTCTCCTTTGCCACCCCAGTCCGAGCCCTTTGCACTGACACTGACACCTGGGCTTCCCACCTTTATCCCAGGCACGGTGACCTGGGGCTTCAAGCGGCCAGCACCTTGGAGGTCTGGTCCTGAAGCAGAAGCGGACCCCGCTCGGGTGTCCACAGCAGAGCCTGTGGTCGGAGGCGCTGCCCCTGAGCCCGAGGGCAGTCTGATCACTGTCTTCCCGGGCTGGGTCTCCACATCCACAGTGGAGATTTCAGTCAGTTCATGCCGTGGAATCTTTATCTTGAACTCAGGGCTGCTGATGTCGATGTCCTTGGCTCCTTCCCGGCCCGTCACATCCACAGTGTAGGCAGTGACCCTTCTGGTCACCGTGATGGTGCGGCTCTGGGTCTCCCCAAGGTCCCCTTCTACTCCGTCCTCCGACTTCAGCCGGGGCTTGATCTTCGTGGTGTAGATGCGCTGGTACTCCTCATCATCCCCGCTCTGCAGAAAGACACGGCCGGCAGAGGTTGCAATGGAATCTGCCTGAACTGCAGACACCCGGCCACAGCCCAGCCGACAGCACAGTTGCCCATCTCCCAGAGAAATCGGGACCGTAAGGGAGGTCCTTGGGGCCTCCTGGGGCAGAGCACAAGGGGCTGAGAAAAGGGGCTGAGAGCCACACCACAGGAGGAAAACAAATTATCTGGGAAACTCCGGGAAGCAAAAGCCATTGGGGTTGGGAGAGAGACTCCTGGGCCGTGTTATCTAGAGGAAGGATTTTCAATCAATTCTAGATTCAAATCAGCCTGTCAAGTCCCAAGGATGCCACCATGATGACCAGCTCTGTGCTGACTTGATCTTTTGTCTCTCAGCTCTCAGCTCACTGCCTTAACTCCCTGTCCTGTTTGTTTACTCGGGAGGGAATCCTCAGAGAGATCACTCACGCCTGGCTGTGCTGGGGTTGACACTTCCACGCTGAGGACCCATTATCCCTAAATCAATGAGCCATCAGAAGGAGCATCAAAATGTCCCCCAGGCACTTTGCTGCTCCGCATGAGTCCAGACCTCTGGAAGTAGAAAAATGGTGTCTGGGAGGCAGAGCCGGGCCCCTGTAGAATCATTTCAAAGATTCTTGCAAAGCAGCTGACCTCCCTCCCAGCATCTAGGTCCAGAAGGGAGGAGTGGGTTGCCACGCTGTGGCACTCTGAGAAGATGGATGGGAAACTTTTAAGGGCAGCATCAGCCACATGCCACACATGAGAGAAACAGAAGCTGCTCAGCAGAGTGCAGATGGGTGAGAGCGGAAGAAAGAATTGCAGGAGAGGCCCAGCAGGTGCAGAGAAGGCTCAGGAGGTGAGACCGGGGTGCACGGGGAGGTGAGAGGCAGACGCCCCACTGTGTGCACTCACCAGAACCACCTCGGAGATGCGGGAGCCGAAGACTTCGTGGGCCCAGGTCTGGCCGGGCTCTGGGGAGCGGTCCCCCTTGCGGTGCAGCTTCAGACCCACGGTGTGGTGGCCCATGGTGTTCAGCAGCTGGGTCACCTCGCCCGACTGAAGGTTGTCAAAGTATATGGTGGCACCCACAATCTGGTCCCCTGAGCAGGAAGGAGCAAGAAGCAGGTAAGACCCCAGGGGTCTCCAGAAAACAACAGACAACCCACTAGATGCTGGATACTCGAACTGACTTGCACTTAGTGCATGTCGTGAGCCCAATAGGTGGGTGTGATAATACCCATTGTGTAGATGGGGACACTGAGGCTTAGAGAGGCCAACTAATTTGCCCAAAGTGGCAGAGCACATGAGTGGCGGAGTCAGAACTAAGGACCACATCTCTACCCGCCACATGGCTGCCGCCCCAAGGACTACGAGCGAGTGAGGGCCACAGAGTAGGGAGGGGAGGGCAGGGCTTGGGTGCTAACCAGCCTGATGTCACTGGGACCAGGCCCTCCACAGCCAGGTGCCCACCTCTTCCTGCCCCCTACCCCAGCCCTGCCCTCCTCCACCCCAACCCAGTACCGGTCGGCACCAAGGGGACTCACCCTCCTTCACCACCCCAGTGCGGGCCGCAGGGGAGTTCTGCATCACCTCCTGCACAAAGACGCCGTCGTCCCTCTGGGTGATGGTCAGCCCGTGGGAGCCGCTGCCCTGCCAGCTGGGCAGCAGCAGCTCCCGGGTCGCCTCATCCTCCTTCTCCATCTGGGATGAGGTAAAGAAACGGAGCTCAGGACAGTGGAGGTGCAAGGGCACGGGGGGGCGAGGAAGCTGGGGTCTTTGGGGTCATGAGCTCCTGGGGCCTGGAACATCTCTCCAAGATGTGTGCTCCCAAGACACGGCAGAGAATGTGCAGAGGGGACAGTGGCTGCAGCCAGCCCCTCGCCACTCCCACCGGGGCCCTGCCCCCAGATGCCGCCTGGGGCCTCTCCTCTCTGCAGGCCACCACCTCCCCCTCCGCCGACACCCTCCTCCGACTGACCTTCTGCAGGACTCTGTTCAGGAGCGAGTGCCTTGCCAGGAGCCCGCCCCTCCTTCCTCTCGCCTCAGTCTCTCTGGTGGGGAGTCACGATCACACAGCCTAGGGAAGAGTTCACAGTGATGCTCACACTCAACAACTGGCTTGCGCAAACCCCGACCAGCTGCCACGCAAGGCACAGCTGGATGTTCTGCTCCGGGGGCCAGACCACAACCCCGACCCCGACTACTGTCATTGGTTCCACCCATATGTGACTCTCCAACCTGGAATCACAGGAAGGGGGCTTAGAGGTGGCCAGACTCCTCCAGCTGTGTGACTCTGGCCAAGTCACTCAACTTCTCTGAACATCCATTTCCTCATCTGTGAAAATGGAGATGATAAAGGATTTCCGTGAGGAATGAGAGAGCGTGCGTGAAAAAGCTCTGGGCAAGGGAGCATCACAACATACACTTTCTCACTAGGTTCTTGATCACAGCCTCAGGAGGGAGACATTACTGTCCCCACTTTACAGCTGGAGAGACTGAGATTCAGAGGGGCCAGTGTGCCTGGGCCCCACAAGAAGACAGCAACTGTGCTTGAGCTCTGAGTCCACAACTTTTCCCTATGCCATCCATATCAGGCCTGCAGCTGAGAGGATGGACCTGCCTCAGAGGGTCTCCAGTGCTGGGGGCAGCTGGCAGGCCTGAAAGCAAGGCAGGTGCCACCCCACCCCCAGGGACAAACAGTGACTCTGGGCCGTCGTGTCTAACCCTGTCCTCAGGACAGGAGGACCCCCACCAGCTGCGTGCTCCAGGGGCCCTGAGCAAAAGGCCCCCAGGCCCCCCAGGCACCAACCCAAGCCCAGAGCTGGAGTTCAGCTGAGCTGCCGCAGGGACGTAGTGAGTCAGGGACCATCTGCTGCCCACACAGGGCCCTGCGCCAGGCCCCCATAGGTGCGGGCATTGAAGAGCAAAGATGCCCTCCAGCCACAGGATGAGCTGTCAGCTGCTGAGGCACCCCGGGAAGACAGCAGGCAGGACTCTGGATATGGCCACGGCGTGCAGCCACCCACACAAAAGGGTGGCAGTGTTACCACACAAAGCAGGTCTGTGTGCAACCTTGTGGGGGACGCTATAGATAATGGAAAACCTCACCCAAAGCCGCACCCTAAAGCTGTTTACATCCAGAAATTAGTCAACCAATCAATAAACACATGCATACCAATCGCCTCCTCTGTGTCCAACATTGTACAGGACAACTGCAGAGAAAACCAGCCGTGCACAGACATGGCTTAGCCCAGCCCTGGCCTGCAACCTGCATTCGACTGTTACCTAACCTCACTCATGCATCTTCTAAACATTTCTTGAATTCATTCTATGTGCCAGTTATGGAGATTTAAAAGACTAAGTTCCTGTCCCGGCTATAAATTATGAGCAAGCCAAGACCAATTTAACCTCAGAATGTTCCAGAAGGCTTGAGAGCCTTCTGGGGGGAATGAAATATAAATGGGGTCTTGAAAGTGCTAGAGTTTGCCTCTGAGAACAGGACTGTGTCTCTTGGAAATTCATGGAGACTTAGCAGTTCCAATGTCAGGCAGATCACAAAACAGGTGAAGATGGCCACACAGAATACCGGTCGCCACCACCCGGGCTCCCACATGCCGTATTTACTATATGCCTTCGTATCAGCACAGCTGCTGGCTAGGAGGTGAGCCGAGCTGCAGATGAGCGCCTGTTAGCACAGGTGTGAGCTGGGCGAATCACCTCCTCTCTTGACAAGTACAGGAGCCCACCAGCAAAGACACTGACCTTGCTCAGTGTGACACAGCAAAGCTGGAACACAAACAGTGTCTTCCGCAGCACCTAGAAGCCAGCCCTGTGGAAAAGATGCCAGGGCAGGGAAGGAAAAAGGCTTCCAGCCCAAGGCCTTCTTAGATCTCTGAAGCCCCGGATTGCTCTGGCACCCCCTCTTCCTCCTTGTGCAGGGCTCCTTTCCTCTGCCCCGCATCCTGCTGCTGAGCCAGCCGCAGCCAAGCGGGGGAGCAGAGAGCAGGCCAGCTCACCCTTGCCCACATCTCGGCCCCACCCTCCCTCTTTCCCCAGTGAGTCACTGCGGCTGCAACAGCTTCAGACATGCAAAGGGTCACGCCTAAAACCCAATCGACAGAGTGCTTCGCTGGCCAGACCCCCCAGTGCCAGAGGGGCTGGAGCTCCCAGGAAGGAGACCAGCAGACAGCTTCCCTCTCAGCAACTCAGAACAGAGCTCCAGGCTAGGGGTCCCCAGAAGCACAAATCAGAGAAATTTGCTCCATGCCTCGACCCAGGGGGCTAATGAGGTAGGGAGGAGGCCACCGTGAGCAGAGAAGGGTCCACAGCCCATAACAACAGGGGCATGGGACCCAAGGCTGCAGGTTGGCCCTGACAGGGCACCTGCTGGCTTGCTGGCAACTTGGGGTTGCCAAGCATTCTGCCCCCTCTGCCTCGGGCCTCACCTTCTGGCACAGCTGGGAGAGACTCCCCTCCCCTCTCGTCTTAGCTGGGCCTTTCAGGTGACTGGACATGAGGGTGCGGGTGGGGAATTCAAGCACATGATGGCAATGTCCTGTTTCCTGCATCAGGGTCCCAGTTCTGTGTCTCCCCAACCCCTGGAGCCTGTACCAAGCCCAGATGGCCCTTCTTTCTCCTCCCACACAAGGCAAGTGCGTGTGGGGTCTGAGGGCTCAGCCACCCAAATGAAGGTCTTTGGAACTCTGGGGAATTCTGTCCATTCAGCCAGTGCCATAGGCCTCTGGAGCCAGAAAAACCCAGAGCCATGCTGCTGTCAGCATGGCAGACACGTGTGGCTGTTTAAATTTAAATTCAATATAATTTCATTTAAATTTTAGTTCATTGGTTGCAGTGGCTACATTTCATGAACCCAACAGCCACTCACAGCTACCATGTTAAACAGTGCAGAACACTGCCACCCCGCAGAAGGTTCTCTGGGACAGTACTGCCTCATATTTACAGAAGGGGAAGGTGAGGCCCAGAGAGATGAGAATGGGGGGTCGTTGGGGCCTTCTGACTGGGTCTGCCAGCTCCCCACCCCGCCCCATGGCCCCCGGTCACTGGCTCACTGGCTCACAGTATGCTTCATGATGGGAAGGGCTAGAGTGGAGGCCCCCTAAGGCCAAGGGCTGCTTGGACGGTGAATAAGGAGTGAGATGGTGAGGCTACCCCAGCTGGGACTGTACGGAGAGCGTTAAATCAAGTCAGAAGCACCCAGAGGACGAGGCTGTCCCATCAATTCAAAACCACAAAGCAGATGTGCCGAGCATCAGGGCTCTGCCCATGCCACCTCTGTGGCCGGGGACAACACCTGGGCAGAGCCAGAAGGAAGTCAGCTAGGGAGGGGGCCCACCCAGTTGCTGCAGCAGCGAAAGCAATCCTTCCAGCCAGCTCATGTGTCGCGATGACAGAACTGATACACACACACTCTCCGAGAGACACAATGCCTCCGAGCGCCAAACCCGAGGCCAAAATACACACCAGAGGGGCACAAGTTTGAGCATATGCCCAGCACAGGCTAGACACAGGAGAGACATGCCCGGGGAGAGAGAAGCACTCCCACCCACGGCAGGGGACACCAACAGCAATGACACTCCCACCCAGCACAGCGGACACATGCGAGCAAACCACCCCACCACACATGGGCCAGGGATGAGCAGTCCCCAAGCCCAGGAGAATGAAATGACTCATGCCCAGAGCTCCCGACCTCCACTGCAGGGAAAGCCCCACACACTTACCACCAGCACCAGAGGTTAGCTACCGAAAGAAAAGAGACACACACCCAGAGGAGCCATTCCCGCTCATAAACACTCACCAGGCGACAGAGGATGAGAAAGCTCTGCACGGAAAGAAAAGCCCCAACACGTTCAAAGAATGCCCTACGGCGTGCCAGGTACTGTGCTGTAGTTCCACGCCTGGGGTCTCATTGGATCCCCAAAACAACCCTCTGTGATTAAGAATTCATGCCCTTAACTTAGAGATGCAGAAACAGGACCCCAAAGGTAAGATGACTTGCCCGAGTGTGAGATAGAACTGAAATGCAAGCCCTGGGTTCTCGGACTCTAAGGCCACGGTCTTTACCCAGGGAGAGGAACTAAGACACAAGCAGGTACTCATAGAGGATAAGGAACCTCAGAAAAAGATGCACAGGGAGGCACGCAGAAGAGACACCCACACTGGAGGTGGGCACAGGGAGATGGACACAGCGGAGAAGGGCGCCCCAGGGCAAGGAACATAAACACAGAATGGGAGCGGCTGAGATGCAGTGAGGGACCCGGAGACCCAGGAGCAGAAGGAGACTCACCCAGGGAGCAGTGATGCCCTTCGGGGGCCACAAGCCCAGGAGGGAGGACAAGTGGCCACCAGCCTCCCTCCCTCCCACGCAAGCCTCATCCTGGCCCAGCCTGGGGACAGCAATCCCAGGATGCACAGAGCCCCAAGCATCCCAGAACCCAAGATCCAAGGGGCCTTCTGGTTCTGGGGCTCATCGAGCCTGTGTCCCCGGAAGGCAGGCACGATCCCAGGTCACCTGTGGACTCTCTTGGGCCCCAGCAGGAGGCTGAGGAAATCGCCCCCTTCTGGGGCTGGGCGGGCACCAGGCCCACTCCAGAGACAGGCACCAGCAGGGCAAGGCAAGTATTTCCACTCGCTGGGAAATAGGAACAGCCATGCCGGCAGACCCTTGTCCCAGAGAACAAGGAGAAACATAGGGCAGCAACCCTTCCGGGGCCTAAACCTCTACATGGACCCCCACACATGTGGCTGCCAGCTCTCTGTCTGGAGAACAAGGGGCCCTATTCAAAGTGGAGGGGTGCTGCACAAGTGATCTTAGGAGTCTAAGCTGGCATCAAGAACTTCCACACTCAAGCTGATTCCGGGCGGGACACCCCAAGGGGACACTTTTAGGTTGAATGGGTTGTGTGTGTTGGGGGTGGGGTGGAATTATCAGGGAGAATTAGATGAACATGTTTTAAGAGCCAAGCAGCATGGGCACTGGAGACACATTCAAAGACACACAAGGACGCACGCACAGACGCTCAGCAGCCCCGTTCCCACTCTTCACAGCCCAGAGCAGGCCCACAGGCCCTGCCTTCACCAGCTCACAACATACACCTGCCTAGGCAGCCCTGCACCCTGCCCATCATGGAGGCACCTTAACCTGGTTCCCAGTGTGTGCACCTCCCTCTACCTGTGTGCATCACCTGACTTGCTCCCTTGCTCCCTGGGCTGCCAGCCCAGCGCAGCCTGGTCCACAATTCCCACCAGGGGGACGTTTGTCCACCTTCATCACTCCAGCCCTGTCCCCAGCAGCCCCGCCCCCTGCCCCCACCATCATGTTGTAGTTTTCTGCACCTCGACTTGCAGGGCAGCCTTGCCCAGGTGAGCCAGCTGCTTTCGGGGCTCCTTCCTGGCACCCTTGGCCTCTCTCCCCACACAGCGCCCAGCTTCCTCCCACCACTCCAGCAGGCTCTGGGGCCCTCTGAAGCTCCAAGTTCTCACTTCCAGTGAGGAGAGCGTCCCTCTTCCTCCCCTGACCAAAAGGGACTCTCCCCTCTCCTTGTGACAGGGGACTGAGGGCAGCATTATATTTGCCGGCGGGAGGTCCCCACACCTGGCCATAGAGCCAGGGAGGAGTGGGCCCTGACACAGGACTGCTGGGATTAGGACACCAGCTCTGCGGGTGGTGCCCTCCATGGGGCACAGGGGTAAAGAGGTCCCTCTGGCTCACCCTGGGGGGCAGATGACAGCCTGGGAGCTGCCCACTGGTGCAGAACTGCCCCCCAGGCGAGCTCTCCGCCCAGAGGCCAGGCCACGCTAATGCAGGCGCTCAGATCCAGGCCACTGGACTCTGCTGCCAAAGGGCCGCCCCCCAGCCCAGCTGGGACACCAAGCCGGGATCAGCTCCAAGCACCTCCCCTTCCCCTAGAACCTCCGCTCTGGCCCCCAGGGACAGGGCAGGATGCCCCTCCCTGACCAGCCGTGCGCAGCGCCTGGCTCAGCCGGAGCCTCACACCCAGGGCTGGCCTCACCCTCCCGCGGACCTCTGGACGCAAACTGCAGGACAGGGACTCTGACTTCAGTCCTTACTTAAGAGTCCCTGTGGCCCCCATGAGACCCCCACCAACAGGGTGGAGTCCCACCGCTGTACTCTGCCCTATGAGTTCCAGATGCAAGCAGAGGTGACACATGTAGGCCCACTGCAAAGAAAGGACCACCAGGACTGCCAGAGGGACCCCCTCTCACAGCTCACTGCTGTGGCACCAGCAGTCACAGGTACCCAAGGCCTCGGAGAAACTGTGACCCCTGGGCCCAAAGCCTCCAGCCTCAACAGCCCAGCCGTCCTCCTGAGGGAGCTGAGGCTGACAGGGAGGAAGAGGGGTGCCATCAAACCTCAGGCACACACAGTCCTGCTGAGCCCTGCTGTGGCCCACCCGTGTGGCCCCCCACACTCCCTGGGGAGGAAAACACAATTGTTCAGGAAGGCCCAGGAGCCCAGGGGGATGACAGGAGCCCAGGGAAACGCCAGCTCCCTGGGAGCCCAGATGACGCCCTCGGGGGTCAGAGAGAGCGCAGAAGGCCCTGGACACTTGCCACCTGGCCGCCCAAGTGACCTGGCACATTCTAAGCCCCTCCAGGGCCACCTTGCCTTCTCACGTGCATGTACACATGGTCAGCCCAGCTCCAGGGACAGAACTGTGGGGGCACCTGGGAGTGAGGAGACAGCAGGGGTAGAGGTCCTGTTAGGAGTCAGACTGGCTCTCCCGGTTGTGCTGTCTGTCC